CCGGGGGTGTCAGCAGCTCAGTTTAACTGTTTTATCATCCCCCAGCTTGATGGTGCCTGACAGCCCCCCCCATCTGAATCAGAACACTGCTTTCCCACATGTATTCTAGGGTTCCACAAAATACTTCTTTTGCCTAAGAATCCTAGTGTTTAAGAAGAAAATATGAGTCTTTCATAGTGTACCTATGACAATATAACTGCAGCCTCAAAGCACGGCCCAGCCTCCTTTCCCAAGGGCTGTGAGCACTGACAGAGGCTGTACGCTGAGATTAAAAAAACAAAAACCACAAATGAAACTAGTAATAATAAAGCTTTCTAGAAATATTTAAGAATCTCTTCCCTTACCTATTTTTAAACCTGGTAGGAAATTTAAGTGGATGAAAGTGAGACATTACTTTTTTTTTTTTTGAGACATTACATTTTAAGGACCTTTTTTCATAGTCTTCCTGAATTTTACCTTCACTTAGCCTCACCAAGTGGCCTACCGGGAAGGAGCTGTGCTGATAATCCAAAGGCACATGGTTCAAATCATGGCAGAAGCTTATTTTTCCATGGTATTTACATAATATTGAGGGAAGATTCTGTGCATTTTCAACCTAACGTTATCCTACGTACACAGAATCTTCCTTATTTTATACTTAATGCCAACTAATTCCAAGATGTCTTTCAGGACTCGTGGAGCACACAGAAATGACCAACACTTTCAGCCTCAGCTTTCTTGGGAAGCTGCCCTTCTACAGGCCGCACATGCCATCTGGTGGTGATCTGTATAACTGCATGAGTTTGAAGAAATGGGCCTCACGGCACCAACCAACCAATCCAATCAACGGAGAATCCATTTGGGCCTTATGTGCACGATGTACCTGTTACTAAAATACATGAACCCAGAAGTTCCCCCTTGATCTCAGAATGGCTTCCATTAATGCAAATATATGGCATAAAAATGTCAAATTAGCAAGAAGCTGCACTGCAATCCCAGAGGTACATGGTTCGAATCCACCAGATGCTCTGCTGGAGAAGGAGCGGCAATCTCCTCCTCTACCAGTCAGATCCAATTTGACAGTACACACAAAAAATAATCAAAGTCAAATTAAAAAATAATTTTGTCATGAAGTGTTTATTCAAAACCCTTGTCTTGAGAGCGGCAGGCCTTTAAATGCTATAAATCCTTATGGTAGAAAGAATACACCAGGGCATAGAGGTACAATGTACTTTATTATAAACAATTAGATAACAGTATACATATTCATTTGATGGGATAATGGAAGCCAGTTGTTATAATCAAAAGCATTACTTCACTCAAAATGAATAGTTTCTTTTTCTATGCTAACTTGAGTTCATCTTTAACACAAAAGCCAGGTTCAGGTCATCTTGTCATGCACTTCAGTTGTTAAATCCGAGCAGGGAAAGGCAGAATTTGGAATGTATGTTCTATTTGGCTACACTGATTTAACATATTTACCAAACACTGGGGATGGAGTCAATATTAAGCAAGAGCTCAAAGTCTAGCAAGTGAGACAGAAAATAAAACGCTGCTTTTCCTGATTAATACCGAGTGTAGAAAGTAAACAGAAATGTGGTGAAAAGTGACACCTTTATCGTACCAAAATACAGGCAGCTATTATAGTATCTGATGAAAACGACTTATTTTTTTTTAACAGGAGACAAACAACAACAACAAAACACCTCTGGCTTGATCAACATACACATGTTCTGAATGTTACAAGAAGGCAAAAATCTCATTATTTTCTATTGCACATGATGTCTTCTGTGGCAGCCTTAAGCACTGTCTGGATGGCTAATGCATTCAAATGCTTAATATAAGTTCCCTACATTTATGATACACAGGTTTTTATTTACTTAGCCTGCAAAAGAACATTAAAACATTTTTCCTTTCTGTCAACTCAAAAAATTACTCTTAAATAAGCACGTTCAGAGTCTAAAAAAATATAAAAACAACACTGCTTTCATTTAAAAAAAATGACAGCAAAAGAATTGAGATTGATTAAAATGTGACCGTTAGAATGTCTACAGGGTTAACGTCTCATCAAAGCTAAAGGTAATCCTCTGATTGTCTCATAGATCCTAGCAAGGGCTCTTAGTGAAATGTGGCTGGGGGAGGCATATGTACCAATGGAACATTTATTTTTCGTGAATAATCTGAGGTCATATTTGTCCCGGGTTCCTAAAAGTACATGAAAATATAAGGTTTATTCCTTGTCTCTCCACTGCTCTTTTTCATAAGCAGGCAAATTCTGTCACGGTGTAAAACTACCAAAAGGTGAATCTGACATCTTGAGGAGATAAGGAGTCAGCTAAGTGGTCCAAAAGGTTGACATGCTTGCTGCGAATGGAAAGGCCGGAAGCTCGGGTCTATCCAGAGGTTCCTTGGAAGAAAGGCCTGGCAATGTGCTTCCAATCAACAACTCCATGTGGAAAACAGCCCTACTCTCTCACAGGACAGACAGGATCAATGGGAGCTGGCTTGGTTTTGGTCGTTAGGTGTGATCTCGGAGGCAAAAACAGTGTTTCATGCTCTCTTGTAAGGGCATTTGTCTTATTAATGCCCTTTTTACATAAAAGAGATGAAGAATTACTGAAAAATAGGCATCAAGGCGGGGAGGTGGGGGAACAAGAAATCCCACCAACTCCAAAACACAGAAGTAGCTATCCACAGAACTGTTCATCCGTTACTGTACTGTTCAGAAAAGACGTTTCAATATGATGATTCTTAAGAAATCAATGACCTCCTTTCAAGCAAAAGAAAGATCACACTTGGTTCCATAAGTTCTGAAAGGGCACTCTGGTGGCCTAGTGGCAAGAAGCTGCACTGCAATCCTGAAGGTGTGAGGTTCAAATTCACCAGATGTTCCCCTGGAGAAGGAGGGACAATCTGAATCGACAATACGCCCACAAAAAAATAATAAAATTTTTAAAAAAGTTCTGAAAGGTGGAAATTCTATATAGATTTACTACTAGCCCCACTATGGCTGGTACTGTCTCATGTTTATATCTGCACAGCCCTGAGTGCTGCACAAAGGTGCATGATACGTAAATTAAAGGTACTTGGAAACGCTATGCACCACCTAATTTTAATGCAAAATCTATTTTCTACTGCATATACAAAAGTGTCTATCAGATAACAATAATTATTAAGAGGTGACAGCTGAAGGTTGCTCATGTATTTTTTTTACAAGATAATTTCTACCTTGAATACAATTTAATGAGAAATTACGCTGTGTAGTAATGCGAGAAAGAATTGAAAGAGAACCTATCAATGAAGCAGCCGCCTGGACTCCTAAAGTACCACCTGTTACAAGCATGATTTGCCATTGTATACATATTTAAGAGTGTGTAAAAAATATCCTTCTGGGAGCTCTGGTGGCCTAGTGGCAAGATGCTGCACTGCAATCCCAGAGGAACATGGTTCGAATTCACCAGATGCTCTGCTGGAGAAGGAGGCGCAATATCCTCCCGTACCAGTCAGATCTGATTTGACGGTACATGCACACAAAATAATAAAAAATTTTAAAAAAATATCCTTCCAAGCAATGCAGTGTTTAATGAGTGGTGTACACACACACAAGTACCTTGAGAAAGTACCACTATTTGTCATCCATGGGTTTTTGTATATGTTTTTAATAGGACATTCCTCTTAATCAGTATGACTACTATCCAGAAATTATGGATGGGGGTTAGGAAATTATCATCCTTTTACTTGGGAAGATATTTGCAGGTATGACACATTAGCTGTGTAAGATGTTACTATAGTGGGGGGAGGGTTGGGAGGGGAGAAAAGTGCAATACTGAATGAATGGAAATCCAAAGTCTCTGTAAATTTTCATTGAAATTAATAATAACAAAAATTTTTTTAAAAAGAAGTTACTATATTGACCAATAGAACATTTCACCATTAGAGACACTAAGTTAAAAACAGTTGATAAATTTGAACCAACACTGTGTCTAGAATTTTCTCAACAATTTGCCATTGTTTCCATAATCTCTACATGGTTATTAACATCTGTCAGTGCGGAAAATGAGAGCTTTCTCCTCCAGCCTTTGATGGGGGAACGTGAGACAATGAGGCTTTTTTGCTTTTCTCTGTCCTTCTCAGGAGGGAACATTTTATCCCAGGGTGTGAGGTCACTGTGCAGATTCGGATCTCTGCAGCACTGCTGATACAAACCACCAAGATAACAGGAATAGGATTCCTGGTGTGGAAAGCAGGTATCTTTTGGGTGATCATGGGGCTAAATTCTTTGGTCTTTTCTTGCAATTTGAGAAGAGAACTCATTCTATGCGTTCACATTTATTCTTCCAAATTAGACTCATTTATCTTTTCATCGTTCCACCATAGCAGGTAACAGAACTCTAAGCTTCACAGTTTTTAAGAAATCACAGTTTCAATGTGTTTCAAATGTACCATTAATATCAACACAAAAGTCCACCTATCTGGAGTTCAACTTCAGCACATAGTGAATGAATGTCACTTATCTGTACATAGGAAGATATGGAAATATTAATGTCTTTGTCACATATATATATACTTAATACAATTACAACATTCTCTGTGGTTTATCCTATGACCTGATTGTACAAGCTCTGATGTTTCCTCTTGACCATAGCACTAAAAATGAGATAATTTAAACACTATGAATTTGACAGTTTTGTCTGAAAGTGTTATTTACTCTAGTCCTTCTAGTTAGTACCTGACTTTGCAGTAAAACTGATCATTCTTCTTTCTGGCCACACGGCGTGCTTTAGAACAACGTACATCACTGAAGCTGATTTTGCCAGTACCTTTTGGCCCAGGTGCCTTTCCGTCTGCCCCCACAGAAGCTCCTTCTTGGAGTGATAGAACCATGATACACTGCTCTTGTAATCACAACGTAATGACATGAGGTTACATACAAAGCACAAAACAGAGTAGAACAGTGTACAGTATGTGTCTACCTATACAGATTTAGAAACTTCAGTTACTTGCAAATCTGAAATGACAGAAGCCACTGCCTCCAACAGCATGTATTCAATGGAAACGTGGCTTACAAGAGGAACTTTACGACACCGAAGAAATTGGGTTATGTGGCGAGCCCATCTGAGTGAGAACTTTGTCCAGCCACTGCAGTGGTCCGTGAAGGTGAACCTCGATCCAGCAGGGGGTGCTCGTGACATCCTGGCGATGATACTCAGCTCCCCAGCCCTGAAAAGCAAGAACGGAGCCAACAGTAATCGTGTGTGATTTTACAGTTACACTCCAGAGCTGCCAGACAGAGCCTGGTGGACACAGACGGAGCTCAAGCCTCAGAGCAGACACTGAGATGTGCGAGAGACAGTAAATCCTTCCTTCCTCTAAGTCAGACACAGCTTTGTAACCCAGCACCCTGGTGTGAGTTCAAATCAATGTGCCTCCCTTGTGTTAACATTCAAATATATGGATGGATGGATGGATGGATGGATGGATACTTGCTCTGGGATTCCCAGATGGTGCAAATGTTTGACACACTTGACTCCCAACCAACCACAAGGATGGTCCCTCATTTAAGGAAGGGCCTGGATATCTCCTTCTGAGAAATCCATCACTAAAATCCACATGGAGAGGTGCCAGGCATTGGGGCTGACTCGATAATAACTGTTTTTTTCAGAGCTGGTCCCAGGCTCCAGGCACACGGGAAACACTAGTGAATCATTTTCCCTCCATAAGGAGAAAGCCAGAGTGCTCCATAGAGACCCAGACGGTGAAACATCATTTCACATCCTTTGGGTATGTTGACAGGAGATACCAGTCTATGAAAGAAGACATCACGCTGGGTCTGGTGGAGTCAGAGAAAGAGAGGAAGACCCTTAAAAATTTTGACGGGCTGACACAGTGACTGTAAAAATGGGCTCAAGCAAAAAACCAAACAAAAAACCCAATGGGCTCAAGCGTGTCAGAGATGGTCAAGATAGTGCAAGACAGAGCAAGGTTCAACTCCGCTGTTCATGGAATTAGAATGAGGCATAGTGGACCCAACAGTACCTAATATCAACACCACCACAATGAGGGCCAAAATGAAAATAAAATTAAAAAAAAAACAAAACAACACACACACTTTCCGGTGGCAGAGTCTGGAGACAACGTGCAGACATGGCACCTTGTAAGGAAAAGGAAAAGAAAAAGAAAGAAGAACAGGTCATCAGCCTTGGACCTCAGGTGGCTGAAGGAGAGAATGCCTTTGGTGTCGGCCACATTTCTGCATCCTTCAAAGACACTTTCGTTCATGTCACCGATCTCTCTGGCAAGGAGACCATCTGCTGTGTGACTGGTGGCACGAAGGTGAAGGCTGACCAAGATGAATCCTCACCTCATGCTGCCAGGTTGGCTGCCCAGGATGTGGCACAGAGGTGCAAGGAGATGGGCATTGCTGCTTTACACATTAAACTTTGCACAACAGAAGGAAATCGAACGGATCGAAAGGATCTGGAGCCCAATCTACCCTCAGAGCACTTGCTGGTTCAGGAATGAAGACTGGACAGACTGAGGATGTCACCCCACCCCTTCTGACAGCACCTGCAGGAAGGGTGGTCGTCATGTGCGAATAGGACTCATCAAATTATCGTTTTCTGTTAATAAATTCCTTCGTCTCACACAAACACACACACACACACAGACACACACCACCCAACAATGGGAGGTAATAAAGTAGAGATGCGAAACAAGCCTGCTCTGAAATGGTTCATGATGCCACTCTGATACACTGAAGTTGACTCAATGGCCCCTAACAATTAGAGCAAGAACTTGAATTTATGGTCAGCCCTTTAGTACTGGGCATAGGATCTGACACAACGTTTTTCTCCTTACCAACCAGGAACTGAATCGGAAAGGTGAATAGAGAACAAGCAGGGAGCTCAAGATTATTCAGGGTGACTGTAAAGCTTGTTTCTCCTTCTTTCCCTGGCTCATTTTAATAATTTCCCATTTATTACTATCATAGATTGAATTGTATCCCCCACAAGATCTGTGTTAACTTAGGCAGGCCAAGATTCTCTGTACAATGTAATTATGCTCCGTGTTGTAGATCTGATGTTAGTGAGGCAAGACTGGAGGCAATTATGTCGTGAGTTGTGGGATGATATCAAGGACATCATACAGGAAGAAAGCAAAAGGTTGCATTTAAAAGACAGCAAAGAAAGAAGAGTAAAATGTATGTCTGAAGAGGCTCTGAACTTGCTCTTGAACATAGAGAAGTTAAGAGTAAGTGGAAGGGAGCCCTGGTGGTTTGAGGAGGGTTAAGTAAGGAGTTGTGCTGCCAACCCAAAGGCAAGTGGTTCAAATTCACCAGCTGCTCCAAGACAAGAGAGATGGACAATGGCCTGCCTTGAGACTTACAGCTTCTGAAAACCCACTGGAGGGTCAGCTATGAGTCAGCTCCAACTCAATAGCAAATAACAGCAACCAAATTAAAGGGAAGAAATGATGAGGTAAGAAAACACAAGATTTCAAGAGAGAGCTCAAGAAGACAAAGAAAAATATTACAATAAAATGTGCAAATGCCTTGAGTTAGAAAACCAAGAGAAGCACAGGCTTGGCATTTATCAAGCTGAAAGAGCCGAAGAACAAATTCAAGACGCGATACTGAAGGGTTTTATGGATACATTATTGAATGGTGTGAACGTACCAAAAGAAGACAGATAGCCTATATTTCTCCCCTGCACAGCTAGAGGCTTCAAATGACTGACTTTATCAGAATCACTATTCACAATATTCTCTCTCATTGCCATCAAAGGAGAACTAACTCATAACTGACCCTCCATGGTTTCAGGGGCTGCAAACTGCCGAGTTGGAGATTATCCCCCTTCCTCCCCATTTGCAATATTAGTAGTCATTTATTTTCTGTAAGTTACATAGCTGCTCTGGTGGCTTTGTGGTAAGGAACTGTACTGCCAATGTCAAGGCACCGGGTTTGAATCCACCAGCTACTCCATGGGCAGTCTCCCGGGAGACTTACTGCATCTGAAAACCCGCTGAGGGTCAGCTATGAGTCGGTTCCAACTCGACGGTACACAACAACAATACCTTACCAAAGAAAACATCTCATAGATCTTAGGGAAATCAGATTTCTTTGCAAGCTCACACTAGAGTGACATAATCTCCTATAATCACCTATCATAATCACCATGTCATCCTAATGAAAAATCCCTGATGAGTCCGATGACAGTTCATTAAAGGCAGTTTAAGGCCTTCTGCGGGCAGGCTCACACTACTATGTACCCTTTGCCGTCCAGTCAATGACAACTCACAGCGATTTCCCACCAGGGTTACAAGGTTATAAGTCTATGGGAGGAGACGGCCTTCAAAGGGATGAGTAATGAGTTTGACATGTAAGAGCCACCTTGGCTTACTCTGCTGTCCCTAACGGGTGCGAATGGTTAAGCACTTGGCTACTAAAAGACCTCAGAGAGAGGGCCTGTCTCCGCCCACAGATTTACAGACTCAGAAACCTGTCGGAGTGTCACCAGGAATCAGCAGCGGGTTTGCTCTGGCTGGGCACTAAAAGTTGGCAGTTCAAACCCACTCCAGTAAAAAAGGCCTGTCTGTCTGCTTCTGAAAGTTCACAGTCATGAGGATCCCACGGAACACAGTTCTACTCTGAGCCCATAAACTTGCTGTGGGTTGAAATCAACTCGGTTTGGTTTCCAGCTTGCGTTATGCATTGAATTTCTAGCCCCCTCAACTCTGTACTAGTATTCCAATTCCTGAACCTGCAGTTAAGATTCTGTGGGGAAAGAGTGTGTTCTGTGTTCCGTTAATGAGGTCAAGTCAGTGAGGGGCAAGTCTACACCTAATCTCTTCTGAGTTAGAAGGAGCTGCAGAGGCAGAGAGAGGAGGAAATCCCAATAAGAGAAGACAGATGTCATGTGGGGTCACCAAGGGCTCGAGTGCAGACACAAGGAGCATCCTCAGAGCTGGGGTCCAGAGCCTTCCCTTCTAGCTGGGGCTGTGAGCTTGGCCATCAGCCTTCTACCAGTCAAAAAATAAACTTCTGTTCTTTAAAAGCACCCACCTGGGACATCTGTGTTACAGCATCACTAGGAAACCATCCATAACACTTATCAACGATATTTCCTTCTCCTAAGGGTTAGGAGAGTGTTTTAGTTCATACAAGCAAATCCACCAAGTTTTTACTGAGTGGAAACAGCGCTTAGCAAACCGGAGGGATGGAAAATATCTGCGCAGCATTAAATCCTATACTGTGACTCCTGCCACTCTGCCATCGCCGTCCAGACGCCGTTACCTTAACAAAGCTCATGCGGATGGTGCACATCTTGGTCAGCTCGTAAACCACCTCGAAGCCGTGGTGGACCGACTGTGCCAGCAGCTGCGCGAACAGCTGGTTGTTGAAGATCTTGAGGCTGCAGCCGCTGGGGATCTTGCAGACGGTGGCCGGGTGGAAGCCGTGCTGGTAGTTACAGTTACGGCTCTGCACGAAGATGCTGCTGTCGCTCACGCACTCGGCATAGACTTCGCCCCCGACGTAGTACAGATGGACACCTGCACGGTCAGAGACACAGCATCACCGTCATGGCCTTCTCCAAGGACCAGTCCCTCCTGGCCACGTGCCCCAACTACGTCAGATCGAGCTTCAACATTCCTGCCTCCAGGAGAAACAAGCTTGACCTCTATGCCATCATCAAGTTTCCCCTGACCACTGAGTCAGCCATGAAGAAGATAGAAGATAAGAACACACTGTGTTCACTGTAGATGTCAAGGCCAACAAGCACCAAATTAAACAAGCTGTAAAGAAGTTCTAAGACATCGGCATGGCCAAGGTCAACACTTTGATTAGGCCTGATGGAGAGAAGAAGGCCTATGTTCTACTTGCTCCTGACTATGATGCTTTGGATGTTGCCAACAAAATTGGGATCATCCAAACTGAGTCCAGATGGCTAATTCTAAATACAAATTTTTCTCACACACACAAAAATTCCCTGCCTCCAAGGAGCAGCCTGGCTTCACCCTCTCCAGACAAACCTGTTTGTTCTCTCAGAACTTTCAGCTATTGTTCAATAATCTTCTCCATGGACATCTATGTAGAGCTTTTAAAAAAGTAGATATTTCTAGAACTAGGAAAAGGCATACTTATCAGTGGTGATCAGGAAGGGTAATGAGAAAGAAAAAAAAACCAAAACACCCAGGGAGATCCCTGTCGAAGGATCCCCAAGCTTGTCTTAGTGGTGGTGGTGGAAAAATTTGAGTGGTGATGGTTACAACCATAATTAATGCTACTGAACTATAAAGAAAGGTAAGACTGTGAGGGAAATTGAAAGAATTTGTTCGAATTTGTATTAGAATTTTGTAAATAAACTAGTTTAAAAAAGAAATAAAAAAATAAAGGTAAGACTGTTAAAGTAGATGTTTTGTTTAATATATGTACACTTGTGATAAAACATACCCGCACGTGTATACATTTACAAATACATACTTGTGTGTATAGACACAGGAGTATATATTTACACATGTGTACTTGTAGGGGTGTGTGCACACACACGCACTCCCCACAATTAATAAAGATTTTATTTCTGGATATAGAAATGGTATTTTTAAAAATCCTTTATATACTTAAATAAGTATATACTCAGAGGACATAAAAATATGGGAATCTCTCCCAACTACTGTATGAAAAATATCATAAAGGAGCAATAATACTGAAAGAGAATGGCAGAGAAAGTGAATCACTGAGCTGGAGGTAACGCTATGGAGATTCATGTTTGACATTTGCCATAATTTGACTCGACTGCCATCAAGTCAATCACGACTCATAGTGATCCGATGAACAAAAGGCCTGAAGTCTTTTTATAACTATCATCATTTATCAAAGTTGATGGAATTTCCAGAGGCATGTTGTTTGGGAAGTGGATGCCACTACTGCTTCCAAAATAGTTCCTTTTAAAATATAAAAGAATAATATAAATGTATATACTTCCAGACCCACCCCAGGGCGTCAAGTCAGGAGATGGGAATGGGCATTCCAAGGGGCTGCGCTTGCAGTCAGCCACTGTACAACTCAAGGTGAGCGGTCAGCTTGAGTCCTGCCAGGTTTGTATATCATTACAACCATCTTCCAGCAGGCAGCAGCAACTGTGCCTGAGGAAATCTGCTGTTTTCAGTCTATTTCAGCCTGTGGAGACCCTAAACGTGTCAGAGTACTATGATTTACAATTTTCAGCTGCTAATTTTCTTTCTCGATCATGACTCTGAATGCACTTGAATCTCCAAGCTTGCAGTTAGCAGCCAAGAGCCTTAACCATTTGCATCCCCCAAAGACTTCACTCCTGAGCCAGTGACCCCTCTTTCCAGCTCATACAAAGCTACCTCTGGGGTGTGGTCAGGTGAGTTCCCCAAATCTGGACTTTTAAACTTGCAGGTTCTCTGGAGAGGATGGTTAACGAGCGAGTTTGGGCGCAAGTGAACTGCACTGAGGCTCCTGTCTCTGCTAACCACACGTAATCCCTCACTGTGACCTGGGCTGAAGGTTTGCATCTCTGTCACCTTTGCTACTATGTTCTGGAAAACTCTTCTATGTCTATCTCAGCCCGTTCTCACATGACCAACAATACCCATTAGAGAAAACTCAGCAAACATTAAAACACAGACAAGAAAAAAACAAACCCAACAACTAGCCACAAATCTGCAACCCAGAAATAATCAATGCTAACATACTGCTAGATTTTCAGTATTACCTTTAAAAAAATCTCTACCTGGAATCTTACTGTACAGGGTAGTTCACACTTTTCTCAGTAACTTATTGTGCACATCTTCTCAAGACATGAACTAGTCTATAGCATGTTCAATGGCCACAGAGTGGTGTCCCATTCTACGCTAATACACTTTCGAGGACAGAACGGGAATGAAGATGAGATCCCCTGGGAACCGGAGCAATCCAAATTGCACCTGGAAGTTTGAACTCTCTTTCCAAAGAACCAGACCTCACTCCTCAGGGAAACTCCTTCCGTAACATTGGGAGAACTGACAGAATTCTATAAAATCTGAGAAAAGCCAGAAAACCAGGCCTCACAAAAACAATAAAAATTCATTTCCCAGATGTTTAGGTGATGTAGAATACACAGAAACAACTTCCCAGAAGTCTTGTTTTACCTTGGTAGGGTCAGTTAATGGTGTTTATGCCTCAGGAAAGGATAATTCCCCAATTCTCTCCCCTGCGGGGAGGAGTGAAGAGTGTGTCTTGCTCAAAGTGTCATTTTGGGCTAAGAACTTCGTCGAGGCTCATGGCCAGGGTGAACTGAGCTACTGAGGTCAAAGTCCAAATCACAGGTGCTCCAAAATGATTGTGTGACCGATCACAGTTGTATTTCGTCAAGAGTTTACAAGTTATGTCATTTTACCTCAATTACCTCACACAGCCAATGGAAAGCCGTGCTTCACGTCTTAGAAACTGTTGTTATGTGCCATTGAGTTGCTTGCAACTCACAGCGACACTGTATACAGCAGCTCTGAAGCCTGCCCTGTCCTGAGCCAGTCTCACAGATTCCTACACACCTTCCTGTGTTGCCCCTGTTACTGCATCAATCCGTCTCATGGGGGGTCTTGCTCTCCTGCACTGTCCCTCCACCAGAAACAAATGGGGTGAATAAAATCTAACTTTATGAGGCCATTGGTGGCTCAATGGGAGAAGTCTCACCTTCCATGTGGGAAACAGTCCCAGCCAATCAATACATCGTACACCCAGCCACCACCTACATGTCTATGGTGATTTACATGTTGCTGTGAACAGGTTTCAGCCCAGCTTCCAAATGAAAAAAGACTAGGAAGAAAGGTCTGGAGATCTGCTTCTAAAAGTCAGACACTGAAAGCCCCTATGAATGAGAATGGTCCTTCTGTCTCGCATCATGGACATGCGGCAGCACTGGGCAGTGTTTCACTCCATTGTGGATGGAGATGCCAACAGTCCGGAGCTGAGGTGAAGACAGTTATTAACAACAATGATGAGATATTACCCTGAGCAGAGCTATTAATTCACTGGTTACTTAGTAAAAGGTTAAAGGTTCAAATCCATTCAAGGGTCTTGCAATAAAAGTCTGGTGATTTACGTCTGAAAAATCAGTTACTGAAAACACAGTTCTACTCCAACACAAATGGGATTAAAAACTAATATATGTAAGTGCAAACGCAATGCCACGTACATATCATATAATCAATGGTCATGTTTCTCATCTTTAGCTTTTGTTTTAATTGAGTACTACATTTCAAAGACACATTTTAAGCCGTTTTATCTAATTCCTAAGAAAAAAACATGACTGGACCTTAGAATAAAGTGTTCCAGGCTCTTGGTAACCTCTTGTGGCTACTACTAACTTGTTAGTAGCTTTCTGAAAGCGCTTTTTTTTTAATGAGGTCAAGGTCCCAGCTTCAATTCCCTTTGCCAGTCAATTTATCAACTATCCCAGGACATTTTCCACCAACCAATTTGTTGTACTGAGGAGGCCTGCCTGCTGCCTTCATGCCGGAAGTTATGCTGTATTTTAAATATCCGCAGCATCCTTGATGGTAGAAGGTTACAATGGAGTTTTCAGACGCAGACAGAGCAGAAAGGAAGGCCTGGCAATTTCCTTCAGCGGTCAGCCAGTAAAAACCACACAGATCACAACAAAATATTGTGATATTCATGCTGGAAGATGAGGCCTCTCAGCTGGAAGGCACTGTACAAAAAGGTGCCAAGAATGGACTCAGACACACTCAGGATCAGAAAGACAGCCTGGGCTGGGCAGTCCACTCTGTTACACCTGCCTCAACAGAGTCAGAGACGACACTACAGCAACCAGCGAGGACTGCACTTTGTCACACACCTGTCCACGGAGGCTCCAGGAGGCTCCACTGCTCACAACCTGACCGTAACCTTGAGAGACAGTTCTCTGACCTCAGCACTCACTCATAAAATGGGTGTAGGAAGTCTTTATAAAACGCATTTAAGCCAACAATTTTTCCCCTCTGCCATGTCTATAAAATCCTCTAAAAGAAATGTTTCCCAAACAACAAATGCTGGCGAGGTTGTGGAGAAACTGGAACCCTTATTCACTGTTGATGGGAATGTAAAATGGTGCAACCACTGTGGAAGGCGGTATGGTGCTTTCTTAAAAAGTTGCAAATAGAGATACCATTTGACCCAGCAATTCCACTACTGGGAATATATCCCAAAGAGACCATAACTGACATCCAAGCAGATATATGAACACCCATGTTTATCGCGGCTCTGTTCACAATAGCAAGGAGTTGGAAACAACCTAAGTCCCCATCAACAAACGAATGACTAGAGAAGCTGTGGTATATTCACACAATGGAATACTATGCTGCATTGAAAAACAAGGAACTCATTCAATATTATTCAAAATGGGTGAGCCTGGAGGACATTATGCTGAGTGAAATATCTCAGTCGCAAAAGGACAAATATTGCATGGTGCCACTGCTGTAAAATGGGACTGATATCAGGGTGGGGGTAAGACTGAGAAAAACTGGATAAATTGTATATACTGCACTGAAACAGATGAGGGAATGAATAATTTAAAAGTGATGTATGATAGGGTATTATGGTTATCACAAGAGTCTACAATTAAGTTTGCATAGTGGAATGTACTTGGGGCGGTGGGAGGAGTGCGGGGGGACTGTGTACCAGGGAAGGAGTCTTTCTTTTACTTTTGAAAGAGAGGAGCGAACTGGGGGGCGGGGAGAGAGGGCTGGGCAGGGAGAGAAGTGTAGCAATGAATGAATGGAAATCCAAATTCTCTGTAAATGTTCATTAAAATTATTTTTTAAAAAAATGTTTCCAACTGGAGCAATTCCAGAACAGCTCTCTGAGAAAATGATGAGCTTGTCTCAGCGGAGGGGCCTCCCCCCCAGGCTCTGTGGGTTTGCCAGGTAAGTTATCAGTCCTGGATCTTGCTGCAAAGGTCTCTGAATCCACAGATTAGCTCTCACAGAACACCAACTCTCTACGTCCTCATCAGAGGCACCTCTAGCAAGCTCCTTTCCGAAAGGCTCTCAGGAAAAATCCATACTTCATACGCTTTCACGGACTTCAAACTCCTTGGATCAAGCGGCACCAGCAGCAAGTCAAACACAAACTAACCTGCAAAGACCCCTCAACAAGATGACTGGTAACGTTGCAGGTTAATGCTCAGTCCTTAAATTTTACTGGACATTGTTAAAAAAAAGAAAGGCATACTTGAGAATTTTAAGAATTATAGGGAGCTCTGGTGGCCTAGTGGAAAGAAGTTACACTGCAATTCCAGAGGTATGTGGTTCAAATCCACCAGATGCTCTGCTGGAGAAGAAGGGCAATCTCCTCCTGTACCAGTCAGATCCGATTTGATGGTACACACACACACAAAATAATAAAATTTAAAAACTTAAAAAAAAGAGTTATTGTTGGGTGTCTTCAGGTCAGCTCTGAAGGATTGTAACCCCACGCACAAGAGCACAAGACCCTTCCTGATGCTGCCCCATCCTCACATTTTCTACTGGCTTAAAGTCCACTGCTGCAGCCACTGAGCCCATCTTTC